TAATTTCTAGAAAGTCCCATTCATCTAGTTTCTCTTCTGTTGTTTGTGCATTTTGGGTTATGCTTGATAGTCTATTTATGCCATATATTAGGGCCCCTAAATTTGCCCCTAGTTTTTCCTTGAGGAACTCTATAGTTTCAGGTTTCACATTTAAGTCTTTGATCCATCTGGAGGTAGCTTTTGTGTATGGTTGCCATATTCTTTTGGTTAGAAGTAGGTCATGGTTCTGCACACATCCTACGGGAGGGGACTATACAAAAGTGTGACTCATTGGGGGTCAATCTATGACATGTCCCCTATATCTTCTAATCCTTCCCTCCCTCCTTCCGTTCTGCTCTCCTTTTTCCCCTTTTCCTCCTTCTTGTCTCCATCTCTCTTTCTTCTCAGTGAAACAGGAAGCAAAAGTTTTAAATTTTGATGAATTTCAAATTTGTTTCGTTTATGGTTTGTGCTTGTCTTACATAAAAAAATCCTTTTTAACAGTAGATAATGAATATTTTCTCTATTTTTTTTTTACTTGCATTTTTGTGGCTTATGTTCTATGTCAAGTCATTTTGGAATATTTTTTTCCTATAGGATGTCATGGATAATTTTTTTCCATATGGATCCAAATATTCCAGCAGTATATTGAAACAATGATCTTTCCTTCATTGAGTTATGTCACCACCTTTATTGAAAATCTGTTCATCTTATAAATGTGGATCTATTTTCTGACTCTCAATCCTGTTCCATTGATCTATCTTTATGTCAATACCATAATTACACTTGCTCTATTTTTGCCACTTTTAACAGCTTTATTGAGATATAATGACATACAATAAACTGCATGTGATTAAAGGATACAGATTGATAAATTTAATATATGTCTGCACCCATGAAATCATTGTCACATTCAAGACAATTAGCACAGTCATCACTCCCAAAAGCTTCATGTTCTTTTGTCATCCCTCTTTTCTGTCCCCTCTCATTCTCCCCTTTCTCCTTCCCATCTTCAGGACACTATACTCTTTCAAGGAGCTCTGGTAGCATAGTGGCTAAAGCACTTGACTGCTAACCAGAAGGCTGGTGGTTCAAACCCACCAGCCACTCCTCGGAAGGAAGGTTGGGCAATCCTACTTCCGTAGTGATACTGCCTTGGAAACCCAAGGAGGGGTTGCTATGAGTCGGGCCGACTCGATGGCACATAACAACAACAACAACAACAACATACTCTTTCTGTCACTATAGATTACTTTGGAATTTGTAATTTTTTTTTTTTTTAATATATGAAATTATCCAAGATGTACTCTTTTTTACCTGGCTTCTTTCACTTAGCATAATGATTTTAAGATTCATCTATGTTGTGTGTGTATACTAGTATTTTACTCATTTTAATTGCCAAGTAGTATTCCATTAAGTGAGTATACCACAATTTGTTATCCATTTAACTGTTGATGGGCATTTTTACTCAGCTTGTTACTATTATAAATAAAGCTGTCATAAAATTTCATGTGCAAGTTTTTATATGAATATATGCTTTCATTTCTCTTGTATAACTACTGAGCTGTAGAATGCTGAGTGATAAGGTAGATGTATGTTTAACATTTTAAGAAATTTGCAAATGGTTTCCAAAGTGACTTCACTATTTCCACATTCCCTCCAGCTGTTTATGAGAGTTCTAGCTCTTTCATATCCTTGCCACACTTGGTGTGGACAATTTTTAATTTTAGCCATTTTAGTGTGTGTATTGATATCTGATTGTGGTTTAATTTGCATTTCCTTACTGATTCATGATTTTTAGAATCTTTTTCTGTCTTTATTTGTCATCTGTTCAAATGTTTTGTCTGTTTTTCAAATTGAGTTATTTATTTTCTTGTTATTGAGTTTTGAAAGTTCTTTATATATTCTGGATACTAGTCCTTTATCAAATATGTGGTTTCAACTATTTTCTCCCAGTCTTTTGCTTATCTTTTAATTTTCCTAACATTTTTTAAGTGAAGAAATTCTTAATTTTGATGAAGTTCAATTTATTGAAAAGACTTGTCTAATCCAAGGTCACAAAAATTTTCTCCTTCTTTTATAGAGAAGAACTCTGAGCCTTGGAGAACTGAAGTAACTC